AGTGGGTGAACATTTTCAGCTAATGTTACCATTAAATTAACACATGATGGACCTTCAGTTAGCAGCATGACTCAATTGGTGAGCTGACTGTGCAGGTATTTTTGTATTTTTTATGTATTTTAAATAATATGTTATAATTTTCTGAAAAGTATTTACTTTATTGATATTTCAATATAGCAGAGTGGACATATTAAGATTAACAACATCATGCTGTATGTATTTAAATCATAGTTGTAAATACTTACTTTTCAATTTCACCCTTCCTTGAAGAAAGACAAAATATGGTACCATACTCTCAGTAAAAACCATCAAAGGATTTCTTAAAAAATCAGATACCCCCATAATGACCAAATGGACAGCAATGTAAGGAACACATGCTAAATGTTTGTTATAATTATAAAGTGAAGATAAAGATGATTAACATTACTCTTGTAATGGAATAGGTGGCTGTTGGCAAATAAACCCATGTAGTTTATTTTCTTATTCAAAACATTTATTAAACACACTGTATTTAGCAGAGCACTGGGTGGAACGTGCCAATATAACGATCCAACAAAAGCAAACAGTTTGAAAAGAATGTATAATAAATTTAAATGACTTATAATTGTGCAAATGTGTTAGAAAATCGTATGTTCTATTATGTCTAATGAGGACACTAAAGGTACCTAATCATGATTTTGACACTATAGCCCAGGTCACATTTGTTGTCACATTTTTTGTATATGACTTTTATAGCTCTTATCTGATTTTTTTTCCCTTTTCACACTGACTGCGTCAAGGCAGTGTGAGCAGATCTGTGCAGATTTTTGTTCACTTCTGTCTTTGTGCTACATGCAAATTAACATGTAGCACAATTTCAAAGAATGGGGTGGAGTGGAGGCCTAGTGGTTAGGGCATAGAGCTTGAAATCCTGAGGTTCTGAGACCGAGCCCCACTCCCACAGACATCCACTCTGGGTCTCTGAGCAGGACCCCACACTGCTCCCCAGGCAACCCATGATGGCAGACCACTGTTCCCCATTAGAATGGGTTAAATACAGAGGTAAATTTCTCCAAAGTTCAATATTATTAAATTCCCACATTCTTGGACAGAATAATGTCTAATGTCTAAGACTAATAATTTTAGTACTATTTTCAAGGCTGCACTTTAAAAAAATGTAATTATCAAGAGCTGTTTCAAGCAAAAACAGCTCTAGCTGTTTCTTTTTGTTTACACTCGTGTATACAAAATGACAAAATAAACCTGTCTAAATCTAAGTCTACAATATGAAGAATTACTCTAAATAAATAAAACTTACTGGTCAAGCTATAAAGCAAAGCCCCACTTTACTGGTCTGTGCAGCATCTCTAACCAGAACAGATAGAATTGTTGTTCCGGTTAACTGTTATGATTAGAGATGATGCACAGACTCGTTAAGTTTGGCTATGGAGTATATTATTCCTAAATCCAATATTTACAACTTTTCTTCACCATTTATCTTTTTCCTCTAAGTATGGAGCAGACGGCTTGCTTGGACTCGCACTGATCGCAGGATACCCCAGGACACGGAGGATACAGCGGCCCTGTCCTTAGAAACGGGTGAAAAGAAAGCTGCATATGAAGGAGTTTTCCAGTCTGAACAGAACGCGGTGCCATGCGATCTGGCTCTCGGACAACGCAGCCGCCAAATTCGAACACAGCACTGTATAGATCATATCAGACTGGCTGACCAGGCTAAAAAGAAGTAGGAACTGTCATACAAATAAAAAAATTTAAACTTTTATTAAAAAATAAAATCAGAATAGTAGAACTGTACATGTGTATGAAGACAACCTCTTCCCAACTAGTCTGGTATGTTTTGTACAACAGTTTGATTGTAGGTTTTTTTTAACAAATGTTAAAAAGTTTTTTTTAAGGAAATATGAAGGTTTGCATTTCTTGACAGTTCCAAGATGTCAAAACATATTAAGAACATACACCCCTTAAATTTTTGATAAAGATACATTTATTCAAAAGTATGAGGATATTGTCAACAACAAAAAATAATACCCTCCATTAGTGATAAAATAAAGATGTATTTAAAAAAAAAGATAAGTCATAGCATCTTTTTTGATTCCACAGAAATGTTGTATTTTAATTCTCCCCTTAGTTCTGTATTTACACAAAAAACTATTTATGTTTCCTGTAACCAACCCATAGCTCCTTTACATTGCTTTATATACAAGTCATAAATGGAATAAAAACACAAAGGTACAAAGTAAAACAAAACTAATATCGAAAAAGCCTTGAAAGTAATGCATATTTACACATTGAGTAGCTCTAGAAGCTAGACAACTTCTAGTGGCTAGATCACTTCTAGTAGCTATATCACTTCTAGTAGCTAGATCACTTCTAGTAGCTAGATCACTTCTAGTAGCTAGATCACTTCTAGTAGCTAGATCACTTCTAGTAGCGGCGTTGTCTTTACTGTATGGAACATATTGAGCATCCTTGAATATTAAACCACCCTAACCATCCTAGGATATTAAAATGCAATTGGTAAAGGAACTATCCAGTCAAAATCCCTGTAATATGCCATGACTTATGTTAATATAAGGGAGTGTTGGCCTAGTAGTTAGAGCAGTGTGCTTGTGCTCTGAGAAGGTTGTAAGTACCCGGTTTGATCCCCACACCCTGCATTCTGGGTCCCTGAGCAAGATCCTTAACCCCACACTGCTCCCCGGGTGCCGCACAATGGCAGCCCACTGCTTCCTAAAGGGATGGGTTAAATGCAGAAATAAATTTCTCCAGTGCGAGATCAATAAAGACCTTAAACCATAGTAGAATTCTTAGAATAAAACAAACAACATGCAGAGGTCATAGTAGTAAACTTTGTTGGAAAAACTAAAGAAGAGACACTGAAGCACTGAAGAGGAAAAAAGAGAGCTTCCAAAAAGTACAAGAAAAACTAAAATCTGTTTTAATCTAAAAGGAAAATGAAAAGAAAAGAAAGGAAAGTCAGGACTTCAGGCAAGAGCTGTTACAAGCATTTCACATCTACTTGCTTCATCCTGACACAGGTGTTTTCATTATATCTTTTTTTTTTCTATTCACAGCTACGTACCAGCCCTCAAGTTACTCACACAGCAGATTGTTTATTTCTTAAGATATTTTTTTTTACCAGCCTTATAAACCCCATAGAGTTGTTACATATATAGAAAACCTATATTAAAGAGCTGATCGAACTGATTAAACTGATTAAAACATACCATACAGAATCATCCAAACATTATCCTGTTGAGGGCTCATTATAGATTTTAAAGATTAATTCCACACACACACACATATATATATATATATATATATAGCTACTGTGAAATGTATGATTATCAAAGTGCCTTTTCTCTCATTGCTTCAAGGTATATATTACACATATATTTCAAGGCTGGAAAAATGTGTGATGATGTGACATTGGTATTTAACAGGGGAGGGAATGAAGATGAATTAAAGAAAGGGATTTGTCACGATTTGGTGGTTTTGGTTAGAGGACCCAAATGCAGAGATGAGTAGGTTGAGATGAATAAAGTGATTTAATAGCTAAACAGGCCCTGAGGCAGGAGTCAAAAATCCAACAAAATATCTCACAAGACAGGAGTCAAAAAATCCAACAAAAATATCCTTAGAACCAGAATCTAAGAGTCATCAGGGAAAAAGCAAAAACTAAGAACCAGGAAGAGACAAGGAAGGAACAACAGAGAACTGACCAGATGTTTGATGAGAAGTAAGACGAGGATCCAGCAAACAAGAACTGAAGAGGGAGGGTTTTTAAAGGGGCAGAGACAAGGAGAGAGCTGATGAGGAAATTGGCAACAGGTGCTAGCAGTACAGAGAAAACAGCAAGGGAGGACAGAGCAGAGAACAGAGATAGGGATAGAGGACACAAGAGGGCAGCAGAGGACAACAAATGGAAAACCTGGAGGACAGGAACTAACAAGAAAACAAAATAATAATTAGACATTAAAACAAGAAGCAAAGTAAGACTGAATACTCTAAATAAACATAACAAAACCAAGACTGTGACAGTACCCCCCACTTAAGGGCGGATCCCAGACGCCCTAAAATGTCCAGAAACAAAAACAACCCACCCAGGGTGGGCGGAGGGGGAACCAGGAAGGAGGGCACGAAAACAAAACAGAGTCCAAAAACAACCCACCCAGGGTGGGCGGAGGGGGAACCAGGAAGGAGGGCACGAAAACAAAACAGAGTCCAAAAAACAACCCACCCAGGATGGGCGAGGGCAACAAAAAGTCTCTGGAGGCCGGCCGCGGGGCCGGAGGCGAAGAAGAGTCTCTGGAGGCCGGCCGCGGGGCCGGAGGCGAAGAAGAGTCTCTGGAGGCCGGCCGCGGGGCCGGAGGCGAAGAAGAGTCTCTGGAGGCCGGCCGCGGGGCCGGAGGCGAAGAAGAGTCTCTGGAGGCCGGCCGCGGGGCCGGAGGCGAAGAACAGTCTCTGGAGGTCGGCCGCGGGGCCGGAGGCGAAGAACAGTCTCTGGAGGTCGGCCGCGGGGCCGTAGGCGAAGAACAGTCTCTGGAGGCCGGCCGCGGGGCCGGAGGCGAAGAACAGTCTCTGGAGGCCGGCCGCGGGGCCGGAGGCGAAGAACAGTCTCTGGAGGCCGGCCGCGGGGCCGGAGGCGAAGAAGAGGCTCTGGAGGCCGGCTGCGGGGACGGAGGCGAGGCAGACGCTCTGGAGGCCGGCCGCGGGGACAGAGGCGAGGCAGACGCTCTGGAGGCCGGCCGCGGGGCCGGAGGCGAAAAAGAGTCTCTGGAGGCTGGCCGCGGGGCCGGAGGCGAGGCAGACGCTCTGGAGGCCGGCCGCGGGGCCGGAGATGAAGCAGAGTCCTTGGTGACCGGCCGCGGGGCCGGGGGCACGGCAGACGTTGAGGTGGCCGGCCGTTGGTCAGGCAACGAAGGGGGACCATTGGAGGACGATGTCTCCGTTGCAGCAGGAACCTCGGAGGAGGACGACGTCTCCGTTGCAGCAGGAACCTCGGAGGAGGACGACGTCTCCGTTTCAACAGCTCAGCAACAGTCTCTGAGGGGACCGCGGACTGCGGCTCAGGAACAGGAGCAGGAGGGGTCGCCGACTGCGACTTAGGAACTGGAGCAGGAGGGGTCGTCGACTGCGACTCAGGAACTGGAGCAGGAGGGGTCGCCGACTGCGGCTCATGAACTGGAGCAGGAGGGGTCGCCGACTGCGGCTCATGAACTGGAGCAGGAGGGGTCGCCGACTGCGGCTCAGGAACTGGAGCAGGAGGGGTCGCCGACTGCGGCTCAGGAACTGGAGCAGGAGGGGTCGCCGACTGCGGCTCAGGAACTGGAGCAGGAGGGGTCGCCGACTGCGGCTCAGGAACTGGAGCAGGAGGGGTCGCCGACTGCGGCTCAGGAACTGGAGCAGGAGGGGCCGCCGACTGCGGCTCAGGAACAGCCTCTGAGGTGGCCGCCGACTGCGGCTCAGGAACAGCCTCTGAGGTGGCCGCCGACTGCGGCTCAGGAACAGCCTCTGAGGTGGCCGCCGACTGCGGCCCCTGGACAGGAACAGAGGGGCCCGCCGATTGCGGCCCCTGGTCGGGAACAGAGGGGCCCGCCGATTGCGGCCCCTGGACAGGAACAGAGGGGCCTGCCGATTGCGGCCCCTGGGTCAGGAGCAGGGGAGCCCGCCGATTGCGGCCCTGGGTCAGGAGCAGGGGAGCCCGCCGATTGCGGCCCCGGGTCAGGAGCAGGGGAGCCCGCCGATTGCGGCTCCGGGTCAGGAGCAGGGGAGCCCGCCGATTGCGGCTCCGGGTCAGGAGCAGGGGAGCCCGCCGATTGCGGCTCCGGGTCAGGAGCAGGGGAGCCCGCCGATTGCGGCTCAGGATCAGGAGCAGGGGAGCCCGCCGGTTGCGGCTCACCACCAGGAACGGAGGAGACCACCGACTGTGGCTCCACACCAGGAACGGAGGAGACCACCGACTGTGGCTCCACACCAGGAACGGAGGAGACCACCGACTGTGGCTCCACATCCAGCATGGAGGAAACTGCCCATGGCGGCACAGGTTCAGTCTCTGAGGTGGCTTGAAGTGCCCGCAGAGGGCTCTTGGCGGTTTGGGGCACCCGCTGAGGCGTATCTTCACTAACCCCGATCTCAGAAGCCTTTCGAAAAGTATGCAGAGCAGGATCAGGGGTCTCTGGACGGCACAGAGCAGGCTCAGGGGTCTCTGGACGGCACAGAGCAGGCTCAGGGGTCTCTGGACGGCACAGAGCAGGCTCAGGGGTCTCTGGACGGCACAGAGCAGGCTCAGGGGTCTCTGGACGGCACAGAGCAGGCTCACGGCGACGCCGTCTCTTACGTCGGGGGGTCTTAGAAGCTGGGCTAGCTGGTTCACAGACTGATTCTGGCAACAAGCTATCTGGTGTGCAAGTGGATTCAGGTTCTAGGCTAGCAGGATTGCTAACAGGCTTAGGAGTGGGACTAACTGGTTTAGAAATGGATTCAGATGATAAGCTAACTGGTTTGCTGACTGACTCTGGCTGGGGAAGAGAGATACGAGGTGGGATAAACGGGAAAAGATCATCTCTATCCCCATAAAAGAATTTCCAGAGGTCAGACTCCTGGATGTGGGGAGCTCTGACCGTCTGGGGTTCTATGGCAAAAGACGCGGATAAACTAACTGGCGATTCTGAACTACTTCCGGGTTCTGACGCTAAAGAATCTGAAATGTTAATGTGCTCAAAAATCGGAGAAACATGAATGGTGATGGGTTCTGAAGCTAGTGGAACATAAACACTACCGGGCTCTGGAACTAAAGAATAAGTAGTGTTAACAGAAACAGGAGAAAGAGGATGACTGACGGACTGTGAAGCTAAGGGAAACGGTATGCTAACTGGTTCTGTGGCTAACGGAACAAAATCACTTCCGGGTCCTGAGGCTAGGGAAACTGGATAGCTAACCGGTGCTGGAACTGGGGAAGACGGAACGCTGGCAGACTCAGAGGCTAGAGAAACAGGGAAACTATCTGGTTCTAATATGGGATCTGACTGACGGAGAGCTCTAGCTGCAGGGGTTTTGATAAGTGGCGCGAGTTTGAGTTTTCTGACTGAGGGAACAATCTGCTGATCTAACAGGTGCTTACTGGGACGGGAATGACTGACCTGAAGAGGATGAGGACTGAGACCTGCTGCTGGCTGAAGAACAGAGAGAGTGGAGGGGTCAGGCTGACCCACCGGAAAAGGAGTGGAGGCATCAGGCTGAACCGCCGGAGATGGAATGGCCTTCTTGCCCCGGTGGCGGTTCCTACGCCTGGAAAAGGCAGAAGGTAGAGGCGAACCAGCAGCTGCAGCAGATGGAGGTTCGGATTCAGAGGTAGGTGGAAGCTGTGTTAAGTCTCGGAGTGGTGGTTTGGGTGGTAAAGGTTTATTGTGTAGCTGAGCAAAAGCATCCTGTATGTTCCACTCAGCTACAGCAATGTAACCAGCTTGGAGGAAGAAGTCATGGAAGTCAGGGAATTTTTCCAGTTTCTCCTTTACCTGCCTTGCAGCACTCACCCGCTTCCAAGGTGGACTAATAAGAGGTAGGCTGTCCAAAGTAGAGATTAGCAGAGAAAGAAAATCTCTTATTTTATTTGGCTCTGCTGGGTCCATGTTGTGGCTGGATCCTTCTGTCACGATTTGGTGGTTTTGGTTAGAGGACCCAAATGCAGAGATGAGTAGGTTGAGATGAATAAAGTGATTTAATAGCTAAACAGGCCCTGAGACAGGAGTCAAAAATCCAACAAAATATCTCACAAGACAGGAGTCAAAAAATCCAACAAAAATATCCTTAGAACCAGAATCTAAGAGTCATCAGGGAAAAAGCAAAAACTAAGAACCAGGAAGAGACAAGGAAGGAACAACAGAGAACTGACCAGATGTTTGATGAGAAGTAAGACAAGGATCCAGCAAACAAGAACTGAAGAGGGAGGGTTTTTAAAGGGGACAGAGACAAGGAGAGAGCTGATGAGGAAATTGGCAACAGGTGCTAGCAGTACAGAGAAAACAGCAAGGGAGGACAGAGCAGAGAACAGAGATAGGGATAGAGGACACAAGAGGGCAGCAGAGGACAACAAATGGAAAACCTGGAGGACAGGAACTAACAAGAAAACAAAATAATAATTAGACATTAAAACAAGAAGCAAAGTAAGACTGAATACTCTAAATAAACATAACAAAACCAAGACTGTGACAGGATTAACTTTGGAGAAAAAATTCACAAACCCATGTTTAGGTATCAGTCATAAAAAGTGCAAGAGTATCACTAAAAGGTGACGTTAAGGTTCGAATTGTTACTGCTTTTGTATAATAACATCTGTAATATCCCTCATGATTAGAGCTGACTTCAAGAAATCTGAATATGGAAGAATTGGTGCTTGACGATTGACTCTTCATATTGTAAAAATTACCGTTGTTTAGCCTTCTCTGCAGAGTGAATGATCCATTCAACAACTGAGTTGAGATTGAGCAAGTGATAGTGACAAGTTCACCAAACGTAATCACACCTGCAGGTTCAATGGTAATGCTGGGTTTTGGAAGAATTGCTACAAAGCAAACAAACAAAATATTGACTTAATATTTCATATATAAGTCATCGATTGTGCATTTCAGAAATTAGTTAAGGTGAAAAGATACACTACCATTTAAATTTAGCTGAACAGAATTACTAAACTCTGTGATGAAGTCTTCATTAGAAACCCTTATTCGAAACTGACATTGATATGATCCCTCATGCTCAAAACCAATTTGAGGGATATAAAAAGTAGCAGAGCTGCTGTTTGACTCAACAGTCAGACTAGATGAGGTCCATTTAAAGATGAATGTTCCTCCAAGCTGTACGTTAGGGACCAAACAAGTGACGCTGATATTCTGACCCAGGGTGATGTCACTTTGGGGATTTATGGTGATGGTTGGCTTTATTAGGCCTACAAACAAGAAACACATAGAGCAAATTACCAATTCAGTTTTTCTTCAACCTTTGATGACCTTAAAGAATTGAACAAATGTAGTAGATTTAATACCAGTAATATGGATGTAATTCACAGAATTCATTTGCTATTCCGACAAAGCCTAGCTGGTGAAGATTCTCACTCATCCAGGACTTAGTCATTCCAAAAAAAGTTTAAAAAAAAAAAACAAACAACTGGACTAAAGCCTTCCTTGATGGGAAGCAAAATGTCTTCAAGTTTGGAAAAAAAAAAGTCTAGTGGATTGTTTTATTTAACTTTTGAATTGCCAAAGCCTAGGTGGTCGTATTTTCAATTTGGTGCAAAGTTGGTTTAAATCAAAATGGCTTCATACCTGAACAGATGACACCAACATCTTCACTGTGTGCACAGTCCTGTCTCACAGATCCAGGTTTCAAACACTCTGAGATATGTCTTTCGTTTCCTGTACATGCCAAATCATCCACCCAGGTTTGCCCTGCTCCCTCTCCAAAGTGATGGAGACCTAGAGCCGTACCACAGCCTAGTTGCCTGCAGATTGTTCTGGCTACATTTATGTCTTTGCTCCCATTACAGACTGCAACCCAGGATCTGTTGTAGTAGATTTCAACTCTTCCAGAACACCTGTTTGGTCCAACTAACCTTATTTGGCCAGCTTAAACAACAGAGGACAAAACATATGTGGAATATTTAAGTCTTGAAAAAGAAAATACTTGAAGAAAGAGTTAAATAATTTAGTGTACATATCAACAGCATTTTCTTTTATCTGTCAGTGTCTATCTGTAATACAGTAGGTTATGCTGGTCTTGCTTATAGTTATTTTTCTATTCTAAAAGCCTTTTTGATTATGAGGTTTTATACAATAAGACATAGGGTGTATGTGTTTATCCAGATGACAGAAGTCTTGGTGTGAGATCCAAAACCAATTTCTATGCAGGCGGACAGTAGCAGGATAGCAGACAATCCCTTATACAATTTAACCAAAACTAACAAAAAATAGCTGAACTTATATATCAACAACTTCTTTATGTTTTATGGTATCTTATTTTTTATGTTTCCTATTAACTTTAGTTATTTTCTTCATTTTACTGTTTACTATTGTATGTAGCACATGCTAGCTATGTGAAGCACACTATGAATAATATTTGGTATTATAATGAATTTGTCGACTCTGAGATCAATAAAGTCTATTAATCAAGTCATATTTTTAGATATTCAGATTTGAAATTATTATGACCTCCAACTACAAGACTTAGAATCTCATCTTACTTTTACGGCCAATCTTAAACTGACAGTATTACATGCAATCAGTTAATTTAAAAGGACCAGACCAAATCTGTTTACATGTCTTAAAATTTGTTCAGCAATCTTCACAGATCACCTGCAAAATGGCCACTTATTGCAAGCACAAAACTTCTTAATGCTAAGATCAGGTCTATAGTCTTATTTGTTAATAGTGTTAACAATTCTTTTAATACTAATCACTTAAAAACAAAATAAAGGCAGTTTATGTTCACAGCGATTCCTTTTTCTCACACATTGTCACAGCCCTGATGTCCTTATATTCTAAATATAAGAAATAAAACTAGAATCAGTAAAAATGTGTACCGTAAATCCTCTAATATAGGACGGGGCCTTTATTTCACTCAGGTACATCTTGGTCGAGGCCATCATTGGAAGGAGGCCAAAATTAGAGGCAGGTCCTCTATTTCTATTTGATCAAAACAGACTACCAGTGGAATTATTAAAAATGAGATTTTGTGTCTTTGAACCTATAAAATACTAGGTTCATTTATTGAAATAGTACAGTTACCATAATGGTATACAGAAAATTATTCAGACATCTACCAGCAGCTGCAAATTTTCTGCACGGCAATACGCAAAAAAAAAAAAAAAAAGAGACAGAATGGAATCTTGGCCAAACTGACTTGCGAAACAAAGTTTCTTTTTTTTTAATTAATAGAAACTGTTCTGCCATCTCAAAGTTTATTTGAGACAGGCTAAGTGGAAGTAGGCTACCAGTATCATATATTTTAAGGGAAATTCAGAACAACGAAGGCTTGTGAAATTCTGTCATTTTAACGCTGCCTGGTTAGCACCAGACCTACCGGTAATCACATATGTCTTTCAGATCAGAAAGATTGTGTAAGGCCTCTACGATCTCTGTGTAAGGATGGGACTTCCCATGCTAAGGAACATCGTTGGTTCTAATTATAGCTCCGGCTTGTATAAGAGTCCGGACAGTATTTATCTCCTCCGACAGCGAGACAGGCCATTATTAGAGGCCCGGCCCCTAATGGAATACAGGCCAATATCAGAGGATTTACAGTATATCTTTGTTCATTGTATTTCTAGAGCACACCAAAATTAATTAAGGTCTAAAGTCTTATTTGTTGATATTGTTACCAAATATTTTAATACTAATCCCTTAAAAACAAGATAAAGACAGTTTCTGTTCGCAGAGATTCCTTTGTATCAAACATTATCACAGTCTTGGTGACCTAATATTCTTAATATAAGAAATAAAACTAGAATCATTAAAAATGTGTATATCTGTGATCATTGTATTTCTAGAGCAGACCAAAATTAATTTAAAGAGCTTGTCCTTACCCGAACAGATGACACTTGCATCCTGACTGTGACTAAGGCTGTGTGCTTTAAATCCATTAAATGGATACTGAGTCAGGTACGTTTCGCTCCCTGTACAGGTAACATTATCTACCCAGATTTTATTAGTTCCTTTTCCAAAGTAGGCAGAATGAGGGGCAGCAATGGCTATACCACAGCCCAGCTGTCTGCAGACCACCTCAGCATCATTCATGTCCCAGCCATTATCGCACACAGTTCCCCATTCACCACTGTAACAGACTTCAACTCTCCCAATGCACCAGGATGGCCCCACTAATCTGACTGGGTAAGTATGTCTTACCTGTACAAGAAACATAAAAATAGCTTCCAGGCTGGTTTCTGACAATATGACCGTTCTCACATTCTGTTAGAGAACGTTCACTTCCTGAACAGTTCATTTCATAAGTGGTGTCGCTGGTGCCGTGGAAGTGATAGTTTGAAAGTGCCGGACCACAACCCATATGTCTGCAGGTCACATTAGCAACTTTCATGCTAAAGCCATTAGCGCTGACTTTTATCCAGTCACCATTATAGTATATTTCAATATGTCCATTGCAAGACAAATATGGCTTAATTGTATTATCTGTAGAGACAATAACAAAAAAACAAAAATGAAAATATAATTTACATAGAACAAACAGATCCATTGCAGAACCCTCTATAGAATTCAGTTATATCGACACAGTTATATGTTTATCTAATTTCAAAATGTATTTTAATGATCTCTAAAGAGCTTAATGTCTGATGAGGGTGCAGTAGATTGCAGCTAATATTTGCTCTGAATTTGCATATCTGGATGGACACGTTTTTTAAAATATATTACAATTACAAAGTAGTATACACCTGCATCATATTACACAAAGAAGTTGACAAACCTGGTGTAGTTATAGATGAGCACAGGACAGAGACTGTAGCAGAGGGAAAAATGTCAGATTAAATTAGCAAAAAAACACTAGAAATGCTGTGTTATAAAATAAGAAAATTATTCTTTTATTGACATGTACTCATACCCAAAGCATCAAAACGACCTATGTGTGTCTTAAACTAATGTACAGTCATGGCCAAAAGTATTGAGAATGACACAAATATTATATTTTCACATGATCTGCTGCCCTCTGGTTTTCATGTGTGTATGTCAGATGTTGTCATCTCATACAGAAATACAACTGCAATCATAAGAGTAACAAAAGCTTTTAATGACAGTTAGAATGAGTTAATGCAGCAAGTCAGCATATTTGCAGTGTTGAACCCTCTTCTTCAGGCCCTCTGCAATTCTCCCTGGCATGCTCTCAATCAACCTTTGGACCAAATCCTGACTGATAGCGGTCCATTCTTGCACAATCAATGCTTGCATTTTGTCAGAATTCCTAGGTTTTCGTTTGTCCACCCGTCTCTTGATGATTGACAACAAGTTCTTAATCAGCCCTGTTCTTAATCAGAAGATAGATAGCGTGGACACCTAAAGTAAAGATAGTCTATTGATATGTTTGTTAGTTTTTGCTACATTTTGAGTTATTTTTGCTACACAAGAGGTATTTTTTTGTTAATTAGCTCATTTGTTAATTTATTTTTTCCAATAGCCTACAGAACAGACATTATTTCGTTCATTACTGAGGCTAGTATTATGTGTTATTGGGAGTTGAGAATTATTGTT